GATCTTTCCATAACAATTCTTGTTTTTCGTCTAACCTCTTACGTCACAACACACACCCCGTCTGGTCGGTTCTGACCAATGGTAATACTCCCAAAAGTGAACCGGGAAACAGCTCTTTAAAATGTCAGTACGTCCTGGTCTACTCGGTCTTGGTTCTGTTGAAGTTCTGATGGAGTGCTGTTGGAGTTCTGCTGGATACACAGTCCAACCAGTTCTGTGAGAGACGGGATGATCCTGACAACAGAGCTCTTCCGAGTTCCATGGGATTATAACATTTTCCACTGAGGTGAATATGTGTCGAACAGAGCCTCGCCATTACTTCGGACGAGTAACAGCATCCTACTGAGACGCTGAAAGGGTGCGTTAAACGGAATCTCACCTGAGACATCTCCAGGTAAAGGAGCCGATTTCATCACCTAAGTGTACTGTAAGGAAAAGCTGAAGAAAGCCGGAGAGTGTCGATTCTGGTGAACACATTTCACCCCTCACACACCATCTAAACTTCTTTCCATCTTTAAACTTTTCTATCAAGTAGAAATTCTTCCAGATATTTTAGAAATGTCTGTGTAAAATGCTCACCCACATTCATGTGGGTAAAAGATCATAATTGTACAGTTTTCATAAATGTCTGTGGTGAAGCAACGGAAAAATCATGGCCGTATGATTTTTCCTGATTGATTGCTTATGTTGTTATTTTCATAATTTGCCAAATTAATGCAAATGTTTGATGTTAAATTTTGATTCTGTAAATAAATGACCGCATTCATTTTGATGGGTCAAATATAAATGACGTCTCACGTTTGCATTTCCTTAAATTCAATGCACGTTTTATTCAGTCCAGAAAAATGAGGAATCCGTGTTAAATGATGAATATATCTGAGCATCTGTTCATCTACAACGTGCATTGTCTGCAGAGCCATAGCGCCACATTAAACTACATTAAAGTTAGTTTTACGATGGACATTCGAGCTCCGTGGCTTCAGTGGGGCGCTGCTCTTTGCTCAACCCAAAACAAGCGACTTGACACCGGCCAGCCACGTCCAATCTGCCCCGCTCAGTCTGCCCGTCTCCGAGGAGGGACAGACTGAGCGCAGCTGCCCCAAATCAGGCTACTTGCTTTGGACTGAACAAGAAGTAGACGTCGCTGAAACCACGGAGCTCAAATGTTTACCGAGAAGTTGCTAAACTTCATCATAATTAATGACCAACCACTATCAGTTGTAGAAAACAAAGGATTTTGCAGCTTGATACTTGCAGCCAAGATATAGTTTACCCTCCAGGAGATATTTATCAGTACAACAGTAGACAATCATAAAAAACATAGGATTTGAAAAATATATATATGAAAAACATAAACAGCTACATTATAAAGTGATGTAAAATTCTAAAAACAGGAACATGTCTGTTGGTTTATGCCATGAACTTAGCAGATGTTTGAAGCCATTTAACATTTAATTTAATTCATTTATTCATTCATTTAAATGAAACAAAATTTAAAAAAAAATCATCAAAAAGAAAACATTGAATGAAAAGAGTGCAGAAAGATGAAAAAAATTCTTATATATGCCCCTTATAAAATATAAAACAATTTTTTAACAATCACTTAAATTAATCACTTTAATATCCACTTTAAAGCTAGGAATAAAAATAAACATGTTTTGTGTTAGCAGAATTTAATTCTAACTTTAAAACTTATCCAACATTAATAAAACGTACCTCAAGTTGCCTTTTTGGACATGCATGCATATATTTGTACAAATTGTACTTGAGAGGAGATTATTACAGCCTCATTTAAAATTAATGATGATCATGATATCGGAACTGGATCGGTATCGGTCGATACTCAGATCTAGGTATCGGGATCGGATCGGAAGTAAAAAAAAAAGTGGATCGGTACATCCCTAATTGTGTATGCTGTTCGGTGTCAGGAGGGCTGTGATCAGTCTTACATGGGGGAACTAAACAGCCACTGGCCAAAAGGATGGCCCAGCACAGAAGAGCAACAACATCGGGCCAGGACTCTGCGGTCTAAACTCATCTCCAGGCCAGTGGCCACTCTTTCAGGGATGAAGATGTTCACATCTTGGACAAAGAGGAATGATGGTTTGAGAGAGGAGTAAAGGAGGACATATTTGTGAAAAATAAATCGTCCGTCATTAAACAGGGGCGGAGGCCTCCGTGTTAAACTGCCCCCCCACCCCCTCTTACCATGCTGTTATTGCTAGTATCACTCAGCCTCCTGTGAATAGTAAACAGCCATCAGTGTGCTAACGATCCATCGTTAGGCTGATGGTCCTTCTTGAGCATGTGAGCAGCTGGTTTTTGTTGTCAGCAGCAAAACTGATTGATCCACTCTGAGAAGGTGCTATTTATAAGACTGAGCTGAATACAACACTTCAGACTGAGGAATTCTTTCAGATGAAAGACGAAACAATTCTACATTTTTTTGTTGTTGTTTTGCTTTGTTTTGTTTTTTGAATGTCCGGAGGACCAGATTTAACTTTTTTAGATTTTTTTACCTGGATTATTGAGCATGCATCAGGATAATGTAGATGGTCTCACCATGTGGCAAAGAATATTTTGTTGGACTTGTGTGGACAGACACATTGTCATAAACATATGAAGAAACATTAATTCAAAATATCCAGAATTTTTTAGACAGGGCCTTAGTGTAGAATCAGAGACCCAACATAAAAAAAAACATTGTTTAAAATTTGCAAAATAAGATTTCTCAAAAAAGCTATGACTTGTATTCACTACTGAGCCTGGTATATACTACTCTTGATATTTAAGAACTTTTCTTGTGCAATTGCTCCTTCTGTCCACGCACAGATTTGTTGACTTTTTTAAACCTTATGTTGTGTCTTTATATGAACTTGACATACATATCTTTACAAAAATTACTAAGTATCATATTTTTGTGGTCATTGTTAAATGAGTTTTTACACCTGATATAAAAAGAAAGTGTTAGAAAAACTATTTCTGATTGGATTATTATTATTATATTATTTTATTTTTCTACTGATTTAGCTGTGTGTTAGAATTGTACCTTCTCTTTCTTGAATCTGATTTACTTTTAAAATGATTGTTTTCTGTAAATATAAGTAAGATATATTGCAGCAAAGTTTATGCAATAAAATACCTCCATTATTTTTTGCAATGGTCCCATATATTTTTTTTAGAAAGTGATGCTCTGACATTTAATATTGGGATTTTTTTTACAAAGTTCTTGTTGAGTTTTAAGTTCTTTACTGCCCATGTTGAGCCTAAGAACAAAAATGAATGGGGGCCGAGATGGTTTAGGGGCAGGGCAGCCGACATCTCATGGTGCCTCTGAGCAGGACACCCCACTCCCCAGCTGCCCCACGGGTGCCCCCCACAGCCACCCACCGCCCCACCCGGTGGTGGATGGGCCAAAAGCAGAGAGCCAATTTCACCATTGTATGGAAACATACAATGATGACAACACATAACACATTAAATTATTATTGAATAGTAACACTGACGAAATGAAAACTTAAAAAAGCACTCAAACTATATGATGTACTTGTCATTTTTTCTTCAGTTTCCTTTAAATCATTCCTCTTTATTCTTAGCTTACTTTCATTCTGTCACTTTTTTTGTTCTTTTGTTCACTGTTTTCTCTTTTGTGTTTTAATGCATCAGTGGTCCTCAACATTTTATCAACTTAGCCAAGTAAGTAAAGCCGTTTTAGTTCCCCCCCCCCCCCCTTTTTTCCCCCCCCCCCCCCCCCCCCACACACACACACAAACACACACACACAAAGACCTTCAGGAAAATAAAAAAGTTAAAAAAAATGTTTGTTATGAGAATTGTTCAACATTACTTTTTTTAATAGACCAATGTAAAAGCAAATATCTAACATAACCACTTCTCTGTTTCCTGAATGTCCCCACCAGCATGAGGAAGATGACATGGCGTTAACTCAGGATGGTGCACAAGAGTTTATGACATTTGAGATCCCACTCAATGACTCCGGCTCAGCAGGTCTGGGAGTCAGCGTCAAGGGGAACCGGTCAAAGGAGGACCAAGCTGACCTGGGCATCTTTGTGAAATCCATTATTAATGGAGGGGCAGCAAGCAAGGCAAGACACAACTTTATCCGCTTTTCTACTATGTATATTCTAACCATTGCAATGATAGACTTCATTGATTTCACACACCATCTTTGTTTTAGCATAGCTGTTAAGATCATGGGGAACATTCACATATGGTCATTTAATTTTTTTCAGTTTCAGTAATGTTATTTAGATGGATGGATGGATGGATGGATGGATGGATGGATGGATAGATGGATGGATGGATGGATAGGTGGATGGATAGGTGGATAGGTAGATGGGTGGGTGGGTGGGTGGGTGTACAAATGGATGGATGGATTACTCAAAGAGAAATTGCAATATTCCCAAATTATAGTGATTCATGTGAGTTTTTCCTTCAAACTCAGTCCTCAACATCCATCCATCCACCTATCCATCCATTACATTTACCCGTTTCTTCCTTTTTGGGTCAAGGGGGTCACTTGTGCCCAAATCCAGCAGTCACTGTGCGAGAGGCAGGGGACATCTAGGACAGGTCTCAGAACGTCTGAGGGGCACAAACGAGACAAACAACCGTTCACAAATTCACTCACACCTAGGTACGATTTAGAGTTACCAAACAGCATAAAATGCATGTTTTTTGGTATGTGGGAGGAAAGCAGAGTACCCAGAGAAAACCCACACATGCATGGAGAGAACATGCAAACTCCACCCAGAAAGGTCCCTGGACTGGATTTGATCCGGCAACCTTCTCATTGAGTAGTAACAGCTCTACCAACTGTGTCACCACACCGTTCTCACTCTAACAAATTAGGGAATGTAAACAATAAACCAAGAAAATAATATTACTCTGAAACTGTGGATTTTGTAATTTTCAAATGCTCCAGTAATACTTTTTCTCATCATATCTAGCATCATGATCATGTATGTGTGCAGGATGGGCGTCTACATGTCAATGATCAACTCATTGCTGTAAATGGAGAATCACTGCTTCAGATGACAAACCAGGATGCTATGGAAACCCTTCGCAGGTCGATGTCCATAGAGGGCAACAAGCTGGGAATGATTCAGCTCATCGTGGCTCGGTGGATGATGAAGAACATTGAGGTAAACTAACAATCAGACACAGATTATGATAATGTGCTAGGATTTCATATATATTTTGTGTTGAATCACAAGTTCTTTGCAGAGTCTTGGCTAGATCATCAGGCACAATAGAACGCCCATTAACTTGTGACAGGTCCTCAATGGTTTTGAGCATGAACAAAAGCTGTGGCGAGGTTGCAATTATTTATTGTTCTGATCATTTCCAAGAGGAAGCTCAGAGGAGACAGGGCCTTCTCTGTTAGTGCCCCCAAGTTATGGAACGCTCTGCCTTTGCACATTCAACAGGCCCCCTCACTGTCCATTTTTAAAACCCGTCTGAAAACTCATCTCTACTCATTGGCCTTCGACCCAACTGAGACTTGATTTTACTTCATTTTTATTGGTATTGATTTTATCTGTTTAACTCGTCGTTTTATTGTGTTTTAAAATGAGTTTTTAGTTCACTGTGTGCTTGGCTTCGTAGCTTTGTTTTGATGCTTTCTTTTCTTGTTTTTAACTGATGTTCACCACTTTGTTTCAGCTGAGGCTGTGTTAAAGCATTTTATAAATAAAGTTGATGATCATGTTGATGATGATGATGACATAGTATCAGGGTCCTGATAGAAGCATGTCCTCTGACATGGCTTGGTAGTCAATATTTCAAAGCTGAGTTAGGCACTCTGGTCTCATTCCAAGACTATGATCTTGACCGGTGCAAGTTGATGGAAAGGACCTATCTTAGGCCGGCCATAGCATCAGCCTAGCATAACATGGTTTTAAGTGTGTAGCTGTTGGCCGGGGCTGTTGTATGAAATGCAACGAGGTTGTGCAGATTGTTTATAGGGTGGCACAGTGGCACACACAGTTGGTTGAGCTGCCACCTCTCAGTGAGCAGGTCGCCGGATCAAATCCCAGCCCAGGACACTTCTGGAAGGGGTTTGTATGTTCTCTTTGTGCATGCATGGGTTTTCTCCGGGTACTCCGGTTTCCTCCCACAGACCAAAAGCATGCATGTTAGACTGATTGGTAACTCTAAAATTGCCCCTAGGTGTGAATGAGAGAGTGAATGGTTGTTTGTCTCGTTTGTCTCTATGTGGCCCTGTGATGGACTGGAAACCTGTCCTCAGTGTCCCTCACCTCTTGCATAGTGAAAGCAGGACATGAGCACCAGTGACCCCCATGACCCGAAAAGGAAGAAGCACATAAAGATGATGGATGGATGGATGGATGGATGGATGGATGGATGGATGGATGGATGGATGGAAGGATGGATGGAAGGCTGTTCATAACAATGTTCTCTTCTATATTAGCTACTGGGGCCTAATCAACTTAAAAATTATTTATACCCTTATATATACCCTTATTTATACCCTATTGAACATGCATCAGGATATTTATACTCTTCTTTTTTGCTCTTGATGCTTATTATAGTAATTATTCAAAACCATTTGAATTTTCTTGCAAATGCAAACAATATTTGTAGGGCATGCAGTGAGAGAGGTGAAGGTTGGGTAAAGACCATCAATGCAAGTAAACTGGAGGACATACAAAAGGCAAATGAAGGATGACTACATTTCAACTTTCGTAAAAATAGAAATGTGTTTTCTACAATTTGCTCCTTGTTATAACTTACACAGCCTAAGCTTTGTATGTTTGATATTTGGATAAAAAAATTTGTAGAGTCTGCATCACCATTCAAATCTTCAAACAATCCTATTTTCAGTTTGAGATAAGCTCCTACAGTATGTGTCACATTTCCACCCCTTCTCTCTCTCTCTCCGTTTTATCCGTGTGGGATCTCGATATAATATCTGAAAATCACTTCACTGAGTTATGATTGACAGCCCTGCAGAATACCATTATAAGATAGGAAGATGAAGAAATATGTGGTATTTATAGATTTATTTTTGGTTTGTTATGAGGCAATAGTTGAGGATATTGAAAGTGTTAGGGGTTTATGAATGTCAGTTAAGATACTGAGTGGCATTTCAGCCTGATTGAATGGAAAGAGATATTTAGTCTTTTGCGTGTTCAAGTAAGAAAAAAAAAGTTATTTTCAAAAGTGATACATGTCTGAAGTGTGTGATTGGTGTAGTGCAGGACTGTGAGTGCAGGTGTGAATGCAGACACACACTTGTGTTTGTTGAATCACCCTGCAGCCAGAGGTTGTAGATCAGACTTGATTGGTGTTGCTGTGACTCTAATTGGAGCCCATGTCCTGTGGCTGTGTGGTGGTTTGGAGTGCCATGCTGTGCTCTTTCCTGTTCATCTTCATCCTCCAACATTGTCTTTCACTGTTCTTATCACACATCATCCACTTGCCACTTTGTGCACATTTTCTTTTCTTTTTTTCCTCTTTTTTTGTTGTTAGTTTTATTTTTTTACTTGTAGCTTGTGAAACTCCATTGACTGGAGCTCAATTTACTTCATTGAGGCTGCTGTATGGAGACAAATTATGAAGGGAGGATTGTAACAAAATAAATAAATAAATACAACGTGTATTAAATAAATGTACCAATAATTATCCAATTAAATAATTAAATGTATCAATTGAGTATTTAATACATAATTAAATAATTAGTTGTACATTTGCATTATTAAATACACAATAAGTATTTAAAGGCCCAATTAAATACATAAATGTAACTTTTAAATAATGACATTAAATAATTAAATGTCATTTAAAAAAATATATTTTTACTTTAAAAATGCATTTATATATTTCACTGTGTATTTATTTATTTCATAGATCCCATGCTGTGGAGGGTGGAATGTGTATTTATTTATTTAATTTAATCACATTCCACCCTTCATAGAAAATAGGTCGTTATATGTTTTTTTCAAAAACTTTAGCTTTATCTTGCTCACCACCAACACTCCCCACTCCCATCCACCCACCTTGCTTCTTTCCCCTCCAGTCTTAGAGGGCACTTGTCTCTCCTGGGTAAGCTCAGCCCAAAGCTTGAAGTTTTATCACTTGAGTCCAGTCTGTCTTATGTCAACTTTAATTCCTTATCATGAAGATAGCCTGATACATTATTGAGAACATTTCTGTCTGTCCTGTGTCTTTCTGCCAGTGTTTCTCTATTCCTTGTGTTTCTGGTGCTATGCACACCTGACCCATATCGTAATCACCGCAGGTGTTTCCCACTCCGGGGGATGGGAGGGGGGTGGGGGGTGGAGGCTCTTGCTCATCTGAGGAGCTGAACCTAGCAAAATCTCCTTAGAGTTCCACGCCTCCAGAGGCCCCTTGACCTCCTGCAGCTCCTGAAGTAGCTATTCCCCTTGCATCTCCTGTGGTAGTTACACCTCCTGCTGCTCTTGTGGCAGTGATGCCTCCTGCAATTCCTGTGACAGCGACGCCTTCTGCAGTCCCTGAAGCAGCCATGCCTCAGCCGACGAAGCAGCAGAGCCAGCATCAGTCGAAGAAGCAGCCGAACCCACCTTCCTGTGTCTCCACAGTGTCTGGCCATTACTCTTCACACTCCATTGTGTCCGTGGGCGTCGGGGACGATGACCTGTTTCTTCTGAGCCTCTTCTTGGGTGTCGGAGATGATGACCTCTCGTTGGTTTCCCTGCCAGCTAGACTCCCAGGTTTCCATGCCATCTGCAGCCCCTGAGGTCTCTATAGCCCCTTATCCACAGGTCCGGTTCCTGTAGGACCCTACTGGGGCTTATTTAGGCCGGTTCTGGTGGGACCGGTTTATTTCTGTCTCCACAGTGCCCATAGTTCCCCTTTAGTGGGCGTATAGTAAATCTTTAGTAACCTTTTATAAATTTTAGCTTGAGGAGATGACGGCCTGCCCGGCTCCGACGTTGCGGTGGAGAGGACCCGGGTAGACCGGCGGAGCTCCATCTAGCTCGCTCTGAATTTTGTTGTCGGCCAGCAAGCACAAAAAACCAGCCAGCACTTCAGGATTAGGCCACGGTGTTGTCATTATTGTTTTTAAATCTTTAAAATAGGTCCAGCCGCTACTCCGGTCCGAGAAATTGCAAATGGCGGATCAATGTTTTGAAAAGTTTCTAAAAGATCCAGTAACTCCTCCCCCTGACCAATCAGTGACCGACAGTGCGCTGACGTCACATCTGGACCCAACAAGAACCAGACCTGGGACCCCAGAGAAGTAGGTCCCAAAAATCGTGCGGGTTCCACCGCTTAAGGCGCTGTGGAGACACTACGCAATCGGCCCGAACTAGTTACATAGGAGCACCAAAAGGCCCTGTGGATAAGGGGCTTATGACAGCTGCCACCTCTGAGGTCTTTACATCCTCTGCAGCCCCCGAGGTATCTTCACCTGTTTTAGAACTCACCCACAAGGATGGACAGTTTCCTGGCCGCCCGCCTGAATGCCTGTCCCACTCTGGATGTTCTCCCAGCCATCTATCTGGGCAACTGTCCCATTCTGGATGGTCTCCTGGCTGTCCACCTGAACTCTTGGGGATTGGTGCTCCTTCCTTCTTTGTTGTTACCAGGTTCCTACCTGCCGTTTTTTCTTTTTTTCATCCTTGGTGTTCCATTTATTGTGCTCGCCGTCCTGTTTCCTCCCACCTCCCACCCAAGTTATGTGGGGTCTTGCTTTGGGGATGTCAGATGCCATCTGGGGGGGGGGGGGGTATGAGACAATTTCTGTCTGTCCTGTGTCTCCCTGCACATCCCAGTGTTCATCTATTTCTTGTGTTTCTGCTCCTATGCACACCGGACCCGCATCCTAATCCCTGCAGGTGTTTCCCTCTCATCTCATTAGCATCCAGTATTTAATCTTTGTGTTTTCACTCCCCTGGTATCTGGGCATTATCCCTCACATAGTGTCATGATCTGGATCTGCTCTGTCCTGTCATACTCCAAGTAAGTTTTTGGCTGTCTTGTCAGCTCTGTTTTTGTTTTTGTAAAAAAAAAAAAGTATTTTTCTTACATAATCTTGGAGTCTCTAGCCTACATGTGGGTTCAAACATACAAGCAGAATCATGCCAATTGTGGCTTAATTGTTAAAATAAAATAAAAAGTGGTTATATGCAAATTA